AGCCCAAAGTAGATTTTTCTATTCCCCCCTTTCTCCCATAATAGAAAGTAGTGCTGGGATCTGTCTAATGGAATTGTATAACCCCTTGCATTTTTCCAGTCAGAAATACAAGGAGGAATCTTCCACTCTTGTTGTTCCTTGACAGTCATCTTTCGGCTAGGAGAATGCATGACAGGTGCAGGAGGAGAAGGTGGTCCCTGGGGAATTTTCTTACTGATTTTGAATCTTGGAGGCTCCATTGGGTCTTTCTGCATTTCTACCATGCAAATAACCCTCTGTTTAGCTCCAGAGTTGAAAGCTACTCCTTGCTAAGGTGGTGTGTATCGGATATACCAAGCAGGAGCCAGTTTATCAGCTGCTCGAACTGGCATGGCTGCGGCAACCTTCTGTGATACAGATTTTTCTGAGGCTACCCTTGTCTTTTCTGTAATCTCTTTAATAGCTTCTTCATCAGGTCTTTGTAAGTCTGGATCATCTGCGTTCATAACCTCCTTTGGAACCAGGTCAGTGTATCTGCTATAAATGACCTTGTCTTTTGACTGTCCTTGTCGGGCAATTGCATCATACTTAATCTTCCCTTCAGGATCCACCTGAATGGCCAATGCATTTGACATTTTTTTCTTTTGTCCCATATCCAATGGATACTGGGCCACGTGGATTTCTGCATCCTCCATCTCCAAAATCCTCTAATAACCGAGGTATCCAGCCTTTCCGGTACCCATATGGGGGAGGTTCTCTTCGGGAAGAGACCAGTGAGATCTGCCATGATCTCTGGGATCTTGCCTTTTCTTCAGCCTCAAGCTGGTCCTGAGACAGCTGAGTAGGTGCAGGTAAAATGCCGGTGAGCGACATCTTCTTCCACTGACAACAGCTTGCACACACAAAACCAAACCTTTTATGCCCTCACTCAATCCAGTCATCCAATCATATCCTCTTTGCTTCAACTAACCCTTTTGTGCCCTCACTCAATCCAATCATCCAATCATATCCTCTTTGCTTCAACTTTACCGCACTACCCCCTTATCAGCTCTAAACCCATCAATGTGCTCTAATGTAATCACTTTCCCTTCCAAACCAACAAGGAAAGTTACACAGGAAGTGCCATCCTTCCTTCCATTTTCTCTGCGGGAAAAAATTATACTGAATCCCCCCGGTCCACATTCAAAGTCTCTGTTCTGTAATTATGTTACTACCCGATTTTAAAATGATTGCAGGAGATGAACCTGTTCCAGTACCTCCTCTTTCTCGCTATCCAACAACTCGTATGAAACAGGCCGCCCCAATTGCCATACTTCCCTTACTAGCAGCAATGGGGATTGTGGCGGCATAGGCACAGGAACAGCTGGCATTTCCTGCTCAATAACTCATTATAAAGAATTAGAGTGTCAGCATGAAGAAGACATTCAACAGGTTAGTGAAGTGATCATAGGACTCCAGCGACAAATTAATTCACTAGCTCAGGTGGTCCTACAAAACCACACAGGGTTAGATCTCCTTTAAGAGGGGACTTTGTTTGGCACTCCAAGAGGAATGTTTTTTCTTTGTTAATGAGTCTGGAATTATCACTAACAAAGTTCAATCACTCCAAGAAAGCCTCTAACTCCGAAAACAAAAACATGAATCAGAGTCATCAAACTTCTCTTGGTTTATGCAAAACCCACTCTGGAGCTCAGCACCTGGGGCTCAAGCGACTAAGGCGCCAGCCACATACACCTAAGGTGGCGGGTTCGAATCCAGCCCGGGCCTGCCAAACAACAATGATGGCTGCAACCAAAAAATAGCCAGGCGTTGTGGCGGGCACCTGTGGTCCCAGCTACTTGGGAGGCTGAGGCAGGAGAATCACTTGAGCCCAGGAGTTGGAGGTTGCCGTGAGCTGTGATGCCCCAGCACTCTACCCAGGGGGATAGCTTGAGGCTCTGTCTCAAAAAAAAATAAAATAAAAAAAGAAAGAAGGAAAGAAACTGGCAGGTGGTACCAAAGCACTTTCCTGACCCCAAAGGGCATTCAGTGATATCCCCGGTGGCCTTATGGAAGCACCAGTTTTCACATTTTTTAAATTTGAAAATTTATTCAATTACCTAAAAATTGGTTCCACAAAGTGTCCACATATTGTAAAATACAATAGAAATAATAATGCTTCCGAATATTATTTAGAGAATTATAGGCTTAAAAATGTTTTGAGATTGAGTCCTACTCCATTGCCCTAGGTAGAATGTGGTGGCATCATAGCTCACAGCAACCTCAAACTCCTGGGCTCAAGAGATCCTCTTGCCTCAGCCCCTCAAGTAGCTGGTACTACCGTCACCCAACACAACACCTGGCTAGTTTCTCTATTTTAAAAGTAAAGACAGGGTTTCATTCTAGCTTAGGCTGGTCTGGCACTCCAGACCTTAAGCAATCCACCTGCTGGGCTTCCCAGAGTGCTGGGATTCCAGGCATGAACCCTCACACCTGGCCTCTAAAAAATGTTTAAATATGGCTTGGCGCCTGTGGCTCAAGTGGCTAAGGCGCCAGCCACATACACCTAAGGTGGCAGGTTCGAATCCAGCCTGAGCCCACCAAACAACAATGATGGCTGCAACCAAATAATAGCCGGGCGTTGTGGTGGGCACCTGTGGTCCCAGCTACTTGGGAGGCAGAGGCAGGAGACTCGCTTGAGCCCAGGATTTGAAGGTTGCTGTGAGCTGTGATGCCATGGCACTCTACCCAGGGGGATAACTTGAGGCCCTGTCTCAAAATAAATAAATAAATAAATAAAAATAAATAAAATAATAAAAAACATGTTTAAATATTCTTGGCTAATGAAAATCATTCAAAGTCAATGTTTCATAACACATAAAATTGTAGGTGTGAGTAGCTGAATCTTTTTCTTCTCCCCTCCCCCATCTAAGTTAGTTTCCATTGAATATTTGCTGCCAGAGATATTGTTTATTGATTAGGGTAATGAATGAACTGGGAAAGCCAGCAGGTGAAATTGATATGAATAAAATGGCAAAGAATTAGCCCAGAAAGTTTGGAGGGGCCGGGAGGATTTGACTCCATGAGGTGAATTCAAGGGGACATTCGGAGTAGAGGGAGGGGTTTGGGGATGGGGTTAAAGAGAGGGGCAGCTCAGGGCGGTGCCTGTGGCTCAAAGGAGTAGGGCGCCGGCCCCATATACTGGAGGTGGTGGGTTCAAACCCGGTCTGGCCAAAAACTCCAAAAAAGAAAAAAAAGGCAGCTCCCTGTGTGAGTAACATTACAAATAGATGTTAGTTTGAGAGAAAGTAGGTAGCAAAAATAAACCTTCCCATCCACACCTTTCCTATGGGAAAGTGGAGAGACAATAAAAACCAGGGAAATGGACTTTCCACCAAAGAGCTCACTGAGACATTCCACAGAGATGTGAACTCTGAGCCATCAGAGTTTCCAGAGGATTCCAGGAAGGAAGCAGGAACAGGGTTGGATGCTTACCTGTGAGCCTGGCCATTACAGCTATCAGTTATCACAAACACACAACAGAACAAAATCCCTGGACAACAGAGCAGGCTCTTAAGATGGTGGGCCCAGTCTGAACATTTTGTCTCCACGTTCTCCTCTCACATAGAAGAATTTGACCTGGGAAGCTGCAATCCATTAATACTAAAATCCCATTTGGGAGAAATCACTGGAATGTCTCCTTTCATGATTTCTCATTACTGGCTGTAAACACTCATTGTTATGGGACTTTGCATTCCGTTTGGATTCTTCCTTAGGTATTCTTAAAAGATTTCTCTAAAGATTTCAATTTATTTTCACTTTTTTTTTTGTTTGTTTTGAGACAGAGCCTCAAGCTATCCCCCTGGGTAGAGTGCTGTGGCATCACAGCTCAGAGCAACCTCCAATGCCTGGGCTCAAGCGGGTCTCCTGCCTCAGCCTCCCGAGTAGCTGGGACCACAGGTGCCCGCCACAACACCCGGCTATTATTTGGTTTCAGCCGTCATTGTTGTTTGGTGGGCCCGGGCTGGATTCGAACCCGCCACCTTAGGTGTATGTGGCTGGCGCGTTAGCCACTTGAGCTATAGGCGCCGAGCCTATTTTCACTTTTATTAGAGAGTCAGACCACTAGTTTTTGTTGAAACTCTATGACAGGGCTGGTTTAAGCCACTCAGCCAGTCTAGTTTATGTGGGTTATTTAAGTATTATAGAGAGAGAGAAAAAAAATCATTATTTCCTAGTGACATGATTATATACCTAAAAGGCCAAGGATTTGGTTCTAAAAACGACTGGAAATGGTATGGAACATAGGAAACTAGGCAGGTGTAAGTATATACACACACATACATGTGTTGTTAATGACAAGTATTTATAACTGTAGGAGAATGAACTGACAAAAAGAGCCAATTCTCAATAGCAACACACACTACTTGAGAGAGAAGACTGACTTCTGTGATGTTTGTGAATAAACTATAAAACTTGACAGAATATTAAAACAAAATATTTGAACAAGTAGAGAAGATGAATAGCTATATTGTGCTCCTAGATACAAAAACAAATAGCACACAGAATGTCTATTTGCTACCCCCAGTTAATTGAGATATTTATTTCAGTCTTCAGAAAAATCCCAGAATGATTTTTTTTTTTTTTTGACAAGATGCTTCCAAAGTGTATATGAAAGAATAGGTATACTGGTATATTTTTTAATTCTTAGAGGGATATTTAATGAAAAATTATAATAGGGTAGATTAGCACTAGCAGACACTAAAAATAGATGGCAAAGCAGCTTTAGGTAAAAATATAGCTCTGGGGCAAAACCAGACATAAATAGGGCAGTGCCTGTGGCTCAAGGAGTAGGGCACCAGCCCCATATACCAGGGGTGGTGGGTTCAAGCCTGGCCCTGGCCAAAACTGCACACACTCACATAAAACAGACATCAATAGATCCCCAGTACCAAAGAGCTAATCTAAAAATCAGCTATGATACGTGTATATGTAAGGATTTAATATAGTACAAGGGGAATATCAAAAACATTCATGGAAAAAATATTAATTAATCAGGGCAGTGCCTGTGGCTCAAAAGGGTAGGATGCTGGCCCATATGTCAGAGGTGGTGGGTTCAAACCCAGCCCCAGCCAAAAAGCAAAAAAGAAAGAAAGAAAGAAAATATTAATTAATCAGTGTTGGACTAAGTAACTTTGGTGGAATGAAAAAATAACAATAGATATTTATCTCAATCTATACACAAGAATAGATTCCAGAGTACCTAAAGAAATTATGGTTTTAAACAGAATAGAATAGCAGGGGCCATATATTGGCTTGGTGCCTATGGCTCAAGTGGCTAAGGCGCCAGCCACATACACCTAAGGTGGCGGGTTTGAATCCAGCCCAGGCCAGCCAAACAACAATGACAGCTCCAACCAAAAAAATAGCCAGGTGTTGTGGCGGGTTTCTATGGTCCCAGCTACTTGGAAGGCTGAGGCAGAAGACTTGCTTGAGCCTAGGAGTTGGAGGTTGCTGTGAGCTGTGATGCCATAGCACTCTACCCAGGGGGACAGCTTGAGGCTCTGTCTCAAACAAAACAAGACAAAACAGGGGCCATATTTATGGTCCCACTGGAAACAATCCAAAAAAATGGACAAATACATGAAAACAACAGCTTTTAAGATATTATACATCTAGCAAAGAAGTTACTGGTGATTCCAGAGAGACGTGAATTAAATGAGGTGCCCTAGGAGTGTCCCAGTTTGCTGCCTTGGGAAAGTTCCAGGCAGTTCCAAGTTGGAAGAGTCTGGGCAGAGCACACCGGAATCTCTGAGTTGAAGAAACGCACCTCAGAGTACAGGGAGAACAAGGCAGCTGGAGGTTGCAGAACACCAGGGGAGAGACAGTTCTGGAGACT